CAAACAGCTATAACTCAAAGAATATTCAACGAAATGACGAACGGATTTCACCCATATCGAGACCAGAGATCGGAGAACTTACCCTCAAAGTTTCACCCCAATCCTCCTCGAATTGCCCAACCGTTTTCCCTCTCAAACATTCTAACAGAAGCTGTCTTTCACCCTCAATCACACACAACTCACAACCTCTCTTGATTCTCTCTCGAATCCTCCTCTTTCTCTGATTTTCGGCCAAAATGAGACCAACACGCGTCTGTTCCAGCCCTTTTATACAAACCCTAGGATGTCCCCTAAACCGCTCTCCAACCTGGCAAATCAGAAACCGAAACCGTCGGTCTGATTTTACTCCGTGGATCGACACACATGCCCAAAAATTCCCTTTTTGATTCACGGGCGTTACATATATTCAGTATTTTTATAGGTTAAAAACCAAAAAATTATGAAAGATTACTCCGCTTATAAATATCTTTCCAACCATATGTGAGATATTGGAGATGATCTATTTGATTTATTAAGTGAGACTAATTTTTTGGATATTTGAATTTTAATATCTTTCTATGGACGAAACAGAGTTGAAGAAAATTTGTTTGATAAAATAAATTAAAATGACGGTATAAATATTTAATTTTGAGCGTTATAATTTTTAACTTTTCTTAAGCTATTTAATATTTTGTTTTCGTCAAATTATTTTTCAATTTATTCGCCACGTCATTTTAAAATGTGTCTTTGTGTGCATTTCCAAAACGTACATGTTTATTAACTTTAAAAAAAAAATAGTAGGGTAATAATGAGGCGTTATGAACACTAGAATCAAGAACGAAAGAACTTATCTAAACGCACATGTTTATTAACTTTTTTAAAAAAATAGTAGGGTAATCATGAGGCGTTACGAACACTAGAATCAAGAACGAAAAGATTTATCTATTCGCCACCTATAAGTCGAACGAAAAAAAGTTGCGTCAATTCAGAATGCCCGCATTAAATGCAAAAGAGGAATATGAAGACCATACATGTGAAGCGAGGATATATCAATAATGATATCCCCACTAGGTGACGTAACCAACGGGGAGCGTAAATCGGTTTTTCTACGCATTTAATGTACCGCGAATGCATGTCGCCTCACTAACTTCGAGAACAGAACCAAGTCCAGAATGGCTCGAGCCCATGAAAACCCTACAGTAGGCAGTCCAACGATCTTCAATACACATCCACAAAAGCATGTCATAAATAA